CCATTTCTTGAGAGCTTGAGTTGGCAGGCTTCGTCGTCACCGCTCTCCGTGGAAGATACTCGTTATTGGAGAAATAGGCTCTGCGATTGGGTACCTTCGATGGTCGCTCCGGAGAGGGAGACCAAGCTTCCGCATTCCCTCAGTACGGATCTCGTTGCATTCCATGGACCCAGGACACTGATACACAGTGCATGGAGGGCTGCCGGACAAAACCGCCGATCACGTAGCGAGACTTAAGTCGAGCCAGACTTCGACACATATGAGGCTGACTGAGTGATCTCTATCATAGCGGTGGTTTCGGGGGATCGATTCCAGCAATCGGAAGCTTCATCTTGCTCGGACCTAGCCGGAGTTTTCGAGCCTCCATCACGGCTACTTAAATCCTTCCATCTGTAAGAGCTGATAACACAGCCCGACAGCCAAAATCTAAGAGATCGGGTCGCTGATCACGAATCCGGCGTCAGAAAATTCGAAAAGGCTCCAGTTTTCGAGTTTCAACGGATGTAACCGAAAAAAAAATTGTAAAAAAAATGTAACTCGCGAAAACCAGAGCCTTTCCGAACATTCTGCCGCTGGATTTGGAATCAGCGACTTCGATTCACCCGAAATAGGTATCAGCTTTTCTGTTGAGTCCAATTTTTTTTTTCGGTTATATCCGTTGAAACTCGAAATCTAGAGCCTTTTCGAATTTTTGACGCCGGATTCGTGATCAGCGACCCCGATTAACCCTAAAATGAGTATCCACTTTTCTGATAGATTTTTGGCTGTCGGGCTGTGTAATAGTCCTCCTTGAAAATTCGGTTCTTGTACGAGTGAGTCTCGAATCTTTAACTGCACATTCGTTATTGCATGAGCTTCTAATGAATTTTCGCTTCCGAAGAACAGCAGCTCGCGATAATGAGGAAAATTGCCGCGGAGGAGGTCCTAAACGATGCAGAGCCGCAGATCAACTGAAATTTATCGCCACGCTCGAAGTACCCGGAGCAGCCACCTGATGGCGCCACTCGCACCAGTGACGAGCGATCAAAGCGACCATTGGATACTTATCCCCCGAATGGCGAGAGGATCGGAAGACGGGCCTTAGATCTCTGACGCGGCAAGACTCTGGCTTTCGTAATCGACAATCGAGCATGAGTTACAGCAGAGAATCATGAGAACGCCGCAGAAAGCGACTATGCAGCGTGTTGTTCTGATTCCTCGCTCGCAATCAAGCGAGTCGGCATGATGCTCATTGCTGACCCTACTCTTCGATGGCTGGTGATCTCCCGTTTCCCCGAATCTAGATGGAATCGGTGATCCTCACGAATCGAGAGATCGATTCCGCTTCGCCGAATATTGGAGATCTTGTATTGCGGCTAATCTCCGCGGACTCCGGATTCGAGCACAAGGGCTGCCCAAAGAAGGACGATCCAGTCGAAAGTACCGCAGTTGGAATGTAGAGGTCTCCGACTCCGGATTATTTGACCGACGAACGTGCCTTAGAACATCTTCAGATGATTGGATGAGTTTCATCGAGAGTCCGAGTTCCGCAATGGAGGTCTCCTGCACCAAGATATCCTTCCATCCTTCTAACGTCGGTCGACACAAAACCTGAACTTACCATAGCCGCCTTGAAATCCGTAGTACAAGCATCACGTTAGAGTGGATGAGGAGCATCATGTCGAAGTGAATGAGGCATCACAAGAGACATCGTGTTATAGCGCCTCGTTAACGAACCTGTGTCCCCAAGTTTGATTCTCAGGGAGTGGGAGTGCGGTCGAGTCTGATTCTCTGAGAGTAAGACTGCGAGCAAATGCCTACTGCGATAATAAGCATTCAAACACGGGGATCCGCATGACAATGAAGCTGTCAACCCTCCGAGTGATTCGTGGATGCATTAGCTATTATCTACAGCGCGAAATACACTTTCAGCCGCCGAGATCCCAAATGTGGTATAATCATCTACTGAGATTCAACGCGTATATGCATCAGTGCCGGTCGCTGATTTCCGATCAGTAGGTATTGGAGACGCTATATGACCGGATAGGTCCTCGTCCAGCCGGACTGTCCAGTTTTCTGTCAAAAAAGGAAAATGTCCGATTACGGGCCGTGACGGGGAAGATGCCCGCCTTTTCGGAGCGATTGTCCGGTTTCAGAGGTTCAAATCGACATGCGAGCGGAATAGAGTCCATCGAGCGACGGAGTCCAGATCGAGCTGTCAGCTCGGCGAGACGGCGACCGATGCCGCTCACCAGAGGAGCTGGAAGTTTTTTCTCGAACTCGACCCCCGCCTCGATTGCTATCGAAAGATAGCGACGTTTTCGAGTCCTTGTGCGCCAGTAATGAGCTAATCAGGCACATCGAGGAGGCTGGACCCAAAAAAAAGGATATGAAACCAGGGTAAAATTGTCCGGTTCTGATGTCCACCCCTCCCAATATTGTCCGTCCGAACACTGTTCGGTTTTGGCGACAAAAATGTCCAGCCATTCAGCGTCTCTGGTAAGCATTCGTATTTATCGTAGCATCATCATCCCCTCAATGGAATATCCGGGGGCACCGATAAATTTTTCTCCATCCCAGTCGAGGCCGAAGCGAAAAATGCCGAGGTTCTTGAGTTTCCGAGTCACCGTCCAAATCTAGATCCTTGACGTCGGCTTATGCGGTATCGAGAGATTTCGCGGATCGGAGAAGCCTGCGGCATCAATCATTCTTTCCGCTGTTATTTGGAGTCCCCTTGTAAGATGGCGCTAGTAGTCTCTACAAACCGAGCCGAGCGATTTCCTTTGCTTCTCGCTCCGTTGTTATGTCAGCGAAGAATTTATGGGAATGACTGCACGCTTGTAGAAAAGCTTTCGGCAATCCAGTGCGGATAGGAAGTCTGACTGACGCAAGTACTGCGGCGGAAGGCGGGCCGACCGTTCAGTGGACTTGTCTTGTGGCTGGCCGGTTGCGTAGTTCTGGGGTCCTTAGGATTGTTTTCTGCGATACCTAAAACAAAAAGACAGAATGCTGCTTCCTTTGCGCTCTCACATGTAGAATTCGCCGGCATTTCCTGGTGGATGGAGAATTATCAACATTAGCAAGCATCTGTGGAGGTAGGGAGGCTGGCTGGCTGGCGAGACTCGGTTTCTTCATAAGGCAGATTGTTTCCCGCTAACCTTTCCAGATTCGCTTTGAGGAGGAGACGATCGTGGACTCCATCCCCCGTCATGACGTACCGGACTCCCCGGCAGGAGAGTAAAGCGCGAAGCCACACAACTCATGCTTGGATAAGCGCATAAACTAATGGAATGGAGGAATGACCCGCATCTTGTAGAGGATTAAGGTTGGATGTTCGGCAAAACCGGTAGGACCACACACCCAGATCTTTCAGGGCTGCCCGTGCAAGAAGTGACGCGGCGAATATCCGTCTAGCAGTGTTGTTCGGAGTCAACACCTTTCTGGATCATAAATCACTAGCAGCAATAAAAGAATCATGCGCTCGAGGCATTCGACACCGAGGAAGTACAAATCGCTGATCGATCGCTGCGGAAACAAACAGAGGAGGCGAAAATTTTTTTTTTTACTTATGAGGAGAAAAAGCTAACCAAAAGTACCCGGAGCCTGTGGATTGTCGCGCGGTATGTATCTCCTGTCTGCTCGCATACCAATCAAACGCGGCAGTCTCATGATCTTATAATCTATATTATCTATATGTCTCTCTTATCCAGCCGGAAGTTTCAAACAGTGAACTTCCGTTTCCGAACGAAAATTAGAACGAGGATGTTCGTATTGACATTAGTATTTTCATTTATTCCTTTCCTCATTATCGTTGTCTCCTTTCGGTGGTTATTAAACTCTTTCTCTCCTCGTTTGTATCATGTTTTCATTACAGCCATGATGATAATATTATTTTTATTAATATCAATAATCATCGGCCTTCCACCTTCCTTCGTTCGTCTCTCAATATTTATACCGTCGCTCCCACTTTGGTCTTCTCCACCTGCACCTTTTCTGTCTTCAGAGTCCGTTCTGGCTAACCGCAGAACGCAGTTTGATTCCGTAAAACATCCTTTCCGGTCCGATGCCTTCCAGGCCCCTAATACTATCGAAGCTTAATCAAAGACAGCGTTTAATACACTCCTTGCACTCGTCACACAGTCGCCGTAATTACGATACACAAATGTAACCTTTCCCGTAACGGGACCGCCGCGCCGGATGGACGGAGATGAAATGAGAGCTTGAACGGTCGGTCGATCGGTCCCATGGTCGGTGGCTCGGTGCGACCGATGGGAATCCGCCTCGGACAAGGCCAATATTGAAGAACTCGTCTTGGATGCATGCGCAGATGAAGATTTATTTTTTATTGCAGCTGTATGATTGCTAGCCTCCCGGACGACTTACGGACAGACTGTGCTACCTACGAAAAGTCGAACAGCCTGCCTGTCTATGTCTCCCGAAGGGAGGCGTATCCACCACAAAATGTCTTCCCAGTGCCTGTAGGTCATCTTTGTTGCCCTACCTAAACAGTCTTGAATAGATTCTAGCTACTGATACTAGTTTCTACTCGGGGTTACCTAAGAGCTGTACTGACGCTAAGATTTCCGCTAATAAATCCCGTCGATCTTCTGATCGGTCCGACCGTTCGCAGTCGAACAATGACACCATTATTATAATTATCTATCTATCTATCTAGTATATATATATTCATGGATGTTGCTCGTATTTATGCTATTGTATATGAAGGTACAACGACTTGCAGAAAAAATCCGAATTGCGTTGATTCTCAAGTTGCTGTCACCGTTGTTGTTCTTTGCTTTCGATTCATTTGCGTGGATAAGATCCGCTACCTTCATCGAACTGTACAGCTTGCGGTGGTGGTTGGATTTGTTGATGTTGTTGTTGTTGTTGCTTGAAGTGTTGGTTTCGAGAGGAAAATGCTTCGTTCGTGGTGCTATTCTAGGAAAGTTTTCAACGGAAGAATCTTTCGAAGAAGAGGGAAGAGGAAGACTAATTAGATCAAGGGGGAAGCTTTGAGGGGAATCGGAGATCCGTCGAAGATTGGACAAAACGAGGACCCAGGAGGGACGGGGATGGGGGAGCGAGGGAAACGAAGGCAGAACAGTCATAGCTAAGGGTAGACGCACTCGGGATCGTTCGCTGTTTCAATGTTGTCTCGATGAGTCGAAAGCCCGAAAACGAAAGTCTTTCAAATGACGCTTTGTCTCCTAGGACTGAGCACCAGCCTCAGCTGTTCCTTGATGACCGGGAGGCAGATAGGCGGACATCATATCTCTGAAGTCGGTCCCATTCGGATATCTTCGAGCCACGTTGGCCAGGTTTCCGGCAGCTGCCGACATGGCCCCACTGAGGTCGAGTCCGACGGAACTGGCCATCGAGGTTCCCGGGGAGGGCGGTTGGCCTGAAAGCCCTAGCGTTGGAGTATGAGCCGATCTTCCACCTCCTCCTCCACCACCTCCACCTCCCGCACCACCGGATCCACCGTTACCACCACCGTTCAAAGCCACTCCAGCACCAGCAAGACCAGGCAGATTCGAAGCCAAGTTAGAGCCGAGATTGAGACCAAGGTTCGAGTTTATATTACCGGACAAGGATCCAGAAGCGGCCGGAATCCCGGATAGGACTCCCGAGGAGCTTCCGGAGAGGTTGACTGAACCTGGAGTAGAGCCTGGGGAGCCGTTTGGAGTAGCGGCTCCGCTGTCGTCGCTCCGAACACTCTGCTGACCCGGCGTGCCGGGTTGCGTAGAGTAGCCGAATCCGTAGCCTGGGCAAGGGTACTGGTCGTAGCGCTGGTACAGAGGGTTCATTTGCGACTGTTGATACATTTGGTTGTAGAAGTCGCCCGTCAGAGAGTAGCCTTGAGGCGTATAGGTACCCACAGGGGAGTAGAAATCGCACGTCGAGTCTGCGAGAGGCATAATATTGTTCTGGATCCCTGGGAGCCGATTGGCGGCCTGTATCGGATTGCGCTGCAGTACGGAGTCCGTGGGGCCACCCTGACCCCCTACCGAAGGCGCTGTAGGAGCGGCATACTTCTCCTTTTTCATCAACGTCTTTGTCTTTCTCCTTGGTCGGTATTTATAATCCGGATGTTCCTTCATGTGCACGGCTCGAAGTCTCTTCGCTTCGTCAATGAAGGGTCTCTTCTCTGCCTCGGACAGCAGCTTCCACTCGGCACCCAGCCTTCGCGATATCTCGGAATTGTGCATTTTCGGATTCTCCTGTGCCATCTTCCTCCTTTGCCCACGTGACCACACCATGAACGCGTTCATAGGCCTACGAACCCTATCGGCGTCTTTTTTGGTGCTCGCCCGCTGAGCCACTTGCCCGGGCTGGTAAGTACTTCTGGACATGAAATCCTGACCCAGGTGTGTTTGACTCGGTGAACTTGGAGAAGGCTGCCCAATCTGTTTTAGCGCCTCCGCTGTGGACTCCGTTATTCCGAAGAACTGTCGTTCGAACAACTGTTGTCGGGATTGCTCCAGAGATCCAGCCCGCGAGTCGCCCGGAAGCCGCTCGGCCCCCATCAGGCCCAGCCTGTCGATCGGTTGACTCAAGCTCAACTGTAGACTGGAGCCGCGGTGCTCAGGAGTGTTGCGCATATCATCGCCGTGCATGTCCTGAGTGTTGTCGCCGGCGCCCCGCGGCGGCGAACGGGTCGCTCGATCGTTGTAGTAATGATCTCGATGCGACGATTCGCACGATCCTCCACTGGCGCAGTACTGACAGTGGCACGGCCCGCTGGCGTCGTGCGCTGCGGGCCAGGACTGTTGCCATGCAGGTGGACTCGATGTCGATGCCATGATTCTCCGAATTTTCTCTGCACTCGCTTCTGCTAGCTCGTCACGACGACCGAAGGATGGTTGGCGCGAGTCGAATTACCGCGGATCACACAGTGTCCATCGGGCAAACTCTTGAGCGCACGAGCTCGCTTTATGCTTGCTGCTTGACTTGTATTCAACAGAGCTTCTGGTGAGCACCGTGGAGCCGAGAGCGTTCTGTTCGTCGTCGTCGTTGTCGTCGTCTGAGGAGTCGCCGGTCACAGAGGTGTGTTTTGTTCGGGAACTTGAAGCTGCTTGCTCACAAAACGACAAAGCACTTCGCTCTTCCGAAGGCTTTCGAACGGAGAGAGCTCACTCAGAGTAGGAGGGAAGAATTCTGCGTCGACGGCGATGTTTCGCGATGAGCACCGTCGTCGTCTTCAGCGGGCAGTATATACGGATTTGACTTTCGAAAATCTGCTGGCAGCACGATGAACATTCAATGTTCGATGACGATCAGGCGGAGCAGTACTTCAGCAGCTCGTTCTCTTGCTCGCTCAACTGATCTCCTTCTATCACCATCACTCACTCACCCTCTCACTCTGTTCGAGTATGTGTGTGTGTGTATGTCGCGAATTTTTGTGAAGGTTGGGGTAAATACTGCTGGCTTCTTCTCGCTCCTCCGGTTCGGCTACTGCTGCTGCTGCTGCGGCCACTACTGGGGTTTGGGCTCCGGGTATCGGCTAAATTGATTCCCGAGTTTCCTCGAGCTGGCGACGAAGACCAGTAGAGTACTCAACTGTCGACACCGGTCTTTCTGCTCCCGCTCGATGTCTCTCTATTTCTCTCGGTCGGAGAGAATCGTGGATTTTTTGTAGTTCGGCGTCGAGTGGAGCCAATAGACTGTTGGGAACTACTGCGGCGGCGGCGGCGGCTGCTGCTGCTGCCGATGCTGCTCACCACCACTACCTCCACCACCATCAGCAGCAGTACAACAACTACCAGTTACCGGCTGGGTGGGCCGAGTTGAGCAGCTAGCTCAGAGATTAAGCGTTCGTCCTCCAACTTCAGTCGAGTTAATCCAACCGAGCAGACAGAGAGGCGGCGGCCGCCAACTTTGAGTGGCTCTAAGCTTATCTGATGATGTGGTGTTGCGGTCGATTGATAGCTCGATCTTTTCCTCTTGCGAGAGATTTCCGGATTCGCTCGCACAGGCTCCACGTAACGTTGCTTTCAACAACACCGAGCCGGAACCCCGCTCTGGGATTCTGCAGAAGGCTTCGAAGGCACACACACACGTTCAAGTTGTATTTCTTCGTCTTTACGCTGGCGGGTGGGATGATTGACTGACTGATCGATTCCTTGATCGGTCGATTGATTGAATGATTGACGGATTGCCTGGCTGACTGACTGACTGACTAGGAGTCTGATGATAATTTTCCTTTTTGTTTCCGATCTCCGACGAAGTTTATCCGAAGCTAGGAAGATTGGTCGTGATGACACTGTCGTGAAGCACTTCAACGATTGTAGCTGCTCTTGCTGATGCCGGAGTTTTTCTTCTTCTCTATAGTCCCTCCCACCGGGAATTTCTTCGAGATCACCGGTCGTCCGAAATCCACTTCCTACAGCTGCTATCGCAACGTATGCCGATTCTTTCTGTCCGGGTCACTTCCGAACACAAGGGGCGCGGAACAAAAATACCGATCGACTCAAGGCGAAATCACTGCACAGTCACAATCACACGAGATGTTCGAACTGTTTACCACCACCGCTGGAAGTTTCAACACGAACACAGCCGAGATCTCTCGCCAGATAACACGACGTCAACGGGGGCGATGACCAAGACGTCAAGCTCGGCGATCGTCGCAACGAAACTCTGATTTCCCTTCGACTGGCACTCTAACGCGTCCTTGTGCTGCTGCTGCTGCCGCCGATGTCACGGGCTTGTTTTCTTCGTCTCCGTTGGCGCTCACTGCTGGATCCGGCGCTATTCGAGGGATTGTAGTCTAGTTTCCTCTGATTTCTGTCGGGGGATTCGTGCTCCTGCACGTGCGTGTTTGTTTCTGCTGCTTCCAGGTTGAGTTTGTCGATGAGTTGTAACAGAGCCGATGCAGAAATCGGCAAACAGTTTCCTGTGGCCGGAGGAGCCTAGGGAAAACCGTTATCTTCGTTGGAAAACACTTAGGCGCTCCCCTTAGCGGCGCGAACCATTCATACCGATGAATAGCGAGAATCTGAATAGGTCTTTTGAAAAGGCGCGGCTGCCAGCCTTTCACAGCGGCCGAAGACCCAACGAAGGGCTGACACTCGCTCGCTGTGCGCCAATCCCGACGTCGTCCTAGCTCTCTCACGAACGCTATTGGTCGAGCCGGCGACGGCGCACGACGATGCTATCGCGCCCTGGCGGCTGTCCAACCAAACGCGCGGCCGGCCCGCCAGCCAACCATCGGCCAACCAGCTAGCTAGCTATCCAGCTAGCCGGCCCAACCATTGAGGGAACACCACGCACTCATTTTCTTCTTTCCCCTCCTCGGAGGATAGGTCGTGCTCGCCCTTTCACCGGGAGCCGGCTTGCCCAGGTCTGGGAAAACGATTGGGCTAACCTGCCAAGCGGGAACTAGGCTTGCCTAATCCGGATTTCCGGCGTTGCGATGCTGGATGACGCTCTGGGAAGAATCTCTGAAGCTTGCCCCTGGGAATCGAAGAGGGATGGCCAAGATCTCTCCGTCCGTGGCTGGGCCCCGATCAGGGGATATTCCTACGCTTGAAAGAGGTTGCGATTTGGTGAATTATATCAATACGCCAAGTCGCTACGTCGCTACCCGACAACGCGTGGGATTCCCCGAGACGATGTGCAAGAAAACTTCGCGCAGGATCTTGGACCATCCGAAACCCCTGCCTGCGGAACCTGTCAGAACGTAGCTTCCACGATTGTTGCCCGGCCCGTTCCGGGATGTGCAGGGCGGCTCGTTCGATGGTATAAATCGCTCGCTCGTATCGCGAGGAGCGGATCGATAGCCAGAAATGTCCCTCGCAGGGGACTTAAGCGTGGAACGCCAACCCTGGATACGCCAATGGTCCTTTGGCACAGTTTGCGCTTTTGGGTCCGCTGGCATGATATGCTTCTAGTAGGAATGTATCACGGTTGAATACTCGGCACCCGAGCTCCCGCACCGCAAACCGAAGCGGAGGATTTCCCCCGAATTTCGAGATTGCAAAGTCGAGATGAGCAATCTGCTTCTCGGCGTCGCCTAATCGATCAACAGTATGTTAGTTGTGATCTGTTGGCGACTCCCGAATCCTTCCGTCGAGCGTCGGGGTATCGCTGTTTAATATCGCCGAGCGTTGAACTCATTGAGACAGTAATGAGCGAGTTTGCCAATCCCGCCGGAGGTTCCCACAGGTTTTCAGAAATGAGAAACTGGGCTTTTACGGAGGTAACCTTCACCATGAGCAGGTAAGAATGTTCGCTCTCCGTTTGCCGAGCGACCGACGGACGGACGCAGAAACCGACGGCAGGCAGGCTGTCAGTATGCTTTGACGAAGAAGCGTCTCGTAGACTCACAGTCCATTATGGGAAGCACAATGGCCCGGAAGTGGCTTTGTCGCCGAGGGAACAAAGATGGCCCAGAACAGGGCAGGTGCCAGAGACGTAAATCACGAAAAGAGAGTTCTCCGAGTTCGAACTCCGAGAGCATGGGCTTCCCTCGCCGCGGAGTTGGGCGGCACGTGCGCATATTCAGCATGAAGTGCTAGCAGAGGAATTCCCGGTGCCAGCTCCCGCAGGAGCGGCTTGCTCAACCTGCAAAGATGCGGAATCGGGCCTGATGTCCGGAGCAGAGTGCAGGATTTCGGTTCTTAATACCACTCTCCGTGCGAAAAACCTTCGGGCTTGTCTGCGTCGAGGAGAGAAAGGTTCCCGTGATCTTTGCGTGCCCCCGTTCGAACGAGACTCGAACGCAGTTACGCAGAGGGGACTGCGAAACATTTTCGGGGACAGACGTCTGGCCCGGAAGCAGCCCCTCGGTGGTCAGAGACTACCGCGCGCACCGGCTTCGCGAAGAACCGCTTCAGCGCACATCGAGGTGAGCGTAATCTCGGCGACAATGCAAGGGGGTTACCGAGACGTCATTCGTAGATACGATTAAGACAAAAATCCAGCCGCTATTCATGTTGACGCTCTTCTTTCATCTGCCACTTATTGTTGAGGGCTAGGAGCTACTTTGAGCAAATTACCCGACGGATCACGGGCGACCATCATTGACGTAGCGTGGTTTGATAAGGTCTGGACGCAACACGCCTTACTTAGCGAGCATAATGTCTCCTTTAATGGAGTCGACCGTAATACAAAGTGTCCATTAAACTTTTTCCAACCGGACGCAGCTATTGGTCAAAGCGACACCGGGAGCTCACCTCACGAGAGCGATAATTACCATGACTCGAAACGCAGCTTATCTGGCGAACAAACTTGTGGACCCGGGGATCCCGAAACGAGGTCCCGGCTGGCCTCCTCGAGGGCCCCGACGGTCGGTGATAATGGCTCATGTCATATTCCTTCGGAAAAACATACTCGACTCCGTTTGCGAGAATATCGACCAACCCTAAGACGTCAGAATCTCTTGCGTCGCTGAGGAAGCTTGTTCAATGGTCAAATGGAAAATATTTCCTGTCTGGCGAGGCCACTGATCGATACTCATCGAATGACACCCTGACTGCGTTTCGAGTACAGTCGAGGACCTCAGAGGGGCACGTGAGTCGGGTATCCCCACAAAGGGTCTCAAACTCACGTGCCATTTCTCCGATGAGCTTTGGTAATCGTATATACCTATTAAATTTTACATGGGCTGTACTGCCATACATGGACCTAAGGCCGGGTTTCTGAAACAATATCTCACGCGGCAGATCCTTCGGGTTCCTATTCCCCATTCTTCCAATAGTCGAACGTCCACCGTCGTACATCGATTCGTACATCGAGGGTATTTCGGGGACTTCGATAAACGGGTGATTAGAGACCGTAGAAGGAAATATCGGGAGATTTTTGC